AAATCTGGCATTGCTTATTAAAAAGAACTGGAAGAAAGAGAAGCCTGAAGTCCATCTCCCACTCCATCATGGTTCATCTCAGTGCTCTCTAGGGACTTTCCACTTTCTTTTGTTGCCTGGCCAGCAACAAGAAGGGTGTTTTGGGTATGTACGATCTGAACAAATAAGAGAGAGAATGAATGGATGATGCTTATATTGACAAAGCTTTTAAAATCTGCCTGCAGTCTCCTGAAATTGTTGGGTGGTGTCCACTGGCATCGCTCTGGCACTTCATAAAAAAAGTCCTAATTCTATAGCAGACAGCAAGATTCTTCTAACATAAATGGTTATTTTACTGGGTTTTTTTTTTTTTAAGTCTGGAATTATAGGGCTCCTTTACAGCCTGAGTAGGATCTGAGAGTTGTATCTATGTGCTGATAATGGTTTTTTTTAGTACTTAGCACAGTGGTAACACCAGCGTGCCTGGGCTTTTCCATATTGAACTACAGCGATCCCCACTTCTTCCTTTCAATAGCTCTATCAGTTTGGCTAGTCTTGGGGAAAGTCCTTAGCTTTGATGAGGGAAGGTTAGGCAAAATATGCATGTTTGAGAATGCTGTTTTCCTCTAGCTCAGGCTTCCTCAAGCTTAATGTTCTCCACAACACATGAATGTCAACTTCCAGAATTCCCCAGCAAGCACAGCCATTACTAAAAATTCTGAGAGTTGTAATTCTCACATCTGAGACCAACTGAGCTATGGAGGGCTGCTCTAATTTGATTCATTAGGAGCATATTCCATTTGCTTGTATTTCAACTAGATGTGGATTTCCTACATGCTTACCAAAACTTTGGGTCTTTTAGTGTGCTGAAGAATTTGAGATTGGTAGAGATCAGAGGTAAGAAACTTAGTGCCATTCAGATGTTCTGGCCTTCAGTTCCCATCAACCTTAGCTAACCTTGCCAGTACAAAGGGATTGTGAAGGTTGCAGTTCAAAATATTGAAAGGGCAACCAACAGGTTACCTGTTCCTGCTGTCCTGTTTCAACCAAGAAGCACATGTTCTATTCCAGGCACAAGTAGCTTTGGAAACAATATAGACTTTATCTGGGAGGCTGCTGTCAGCGTGTTCAGCCATGCAGAGTAAGGTGGTGATGGGTTCAGAAAAAAAATTGAAGGATTGTGATATGTGATTATTTGGTGAGGCAGAGCAATTGGTAAAATAAAACAGGCACCTCGTATTGACAGAAGATAATGTTGTTCTTCAATTTTGAATAGGTGGAGCTCGGAGAAAGCTGAAGCAATGGCAGGTCAGATATAGCACTGACTCTTCATTTTTCCCACAGGACAAGATGAATCTCATAATGCAAAATTTCATTCAAATGTGGGAAACCTGGACTATCGAACCACAGTGTATTTCAAGATAGGATTATATTTTACTCTCAATCCTTTTGTTTAGTTTTAAATGAAAAAAAAACTTGAAAATCAAACAAAATGCTAACTATTCAGTAATATCTCTAGCAAATCTAAAGTCATAAAAAATAGGTATCTATCTTACATAAACAGTGCAGTGGGGAACACCAAGAAGCAGAAGAGTGGAGTGCTGTTGACTCAATAGATTCTTGCAGCTACATCAAAAGCAATGAGAAATGGACCAGAAACAGTGTTCCATTCAACTTCTGCAATGCTCTCTACATGGGACTGCCCTTGAAGACCACTCAGAAGCTTCAGCTGGTCCAGAATGCAGTGGCGGGTGCAGTGGCAGCCCTGCCTTGACATGCCAGTATGACTCGCCTGCTTCATGGGCTGCACTGGTTGCCAGTATGCTTTCAGGTACAATTCAGGGTGCTGGTTATCATTTGCAAAGCCCTACATAGCATGGGATCCTGTTATTTGGGGAGTACCTATCTCCTGTACTTTCTGCCTGGCTAGTAAGAGCTGACAGAGTGGATATGCTCTGGTCCCCTCAATGAAATAGTGTCATCTTTTGAGACCCAGGAAGTGTGCCTTCACAGCAGCTGCCTCTGGAATAAGGTCCCCCCTGAGATCCAGGCAGCTCCTAGTGGTCAGGAAGGCCTTCAAGAGCTGCCTGTTCTCTGTTGCCTGTTCTCCCAGGCAATGAGCTAGGGTGCATGGGGCCTCCTAGGAAGACATGATTGATACTTTTTGTTTTTGTGTTCATGTTGTCTGGACTGACATTGTGTTATTTCTCTTACTGCATTTTTTATTTATGATATTGTATCTGTATTTTGTTTTATATTGTGAGCTGCCCAGAGCTGCTCTGGAGTTGGCTGGTGCCAAAATCAAATTAAACAAATAAGCATTTGTGCAAACACTACCAGAATAAACAGCACAAGCAAATACTTCTTGTAAGAAAGTAGTGAGTCATAATGCTTGTGCAATGGAAATCCAAGTAGTGGATCTTAAGTAGGATAAAAAGTTAGTTTCCACAAAACGTTTGCACCAGTGAAATGATGCCATCCCTGATGCTGCTGATATATGCTGTTTTAGAAGTACTGTTGCAAGTGCAAAAATAAAACACTTTCAAAAAAATTACAACATAATTAATCTTATTTCAGACAGTAGAGGTTCAGTATGGATTTCTTATTTCCAGAGGGAAGGGAATGAAGTCTT